AAATTTTCATTATGTAAGTTTCTCACCTATTTTATTATGTTAGTTGCTATGCACTTAATGTTTATGGACGCTATTTTAAATGGGATAGACTCTTTGATTGCTTTTTTTTTTTACTATATAGGAATGCAATCAGTTTTTGTGTATTGACTTTGTAAAAAGTCACATAGGCTATATTGATTTATTGTTTCTAGGAGTATTTGAGTGGACTCTTTAGGGTTTTCAAAGTATATCATCATGTCTGCAAATAGAGATAGCTTGACTTCCTCTTTTCCAATTTTTATCCCGTTGATTTACTTTTCTTGTATGATTTCAGTTTCTATTTTTTCCACATTGCTTTTGAGTCCTGTTTCTTTCTGATATAATATCAGGGAGAGTAATGCTATGTTTTCCTTGATTTACTTTCTGATTTTGGGTCAAATATCAAGATCTTTAATCTACTTTGAATTAATATTATATATGGTAAAGAGGGATCCAGATCTTATTTACTTTTATTTTTATGTGGCTATCCTATTGCTCCATTTATTGAAGAGTTTCTCCCAGTTCCTCGTCATGTATCTAGCTCCTTTGTCAAGATAGTAAGGACATGTGCAATCACTTTCGATGGCGCCTGTTTTGAAAAAATTCTCATTGTATTTTTATCAAGCCAGTTACTGTTTATTTCCAGTTTTGTGTTTTTATCAAGCCAATTACTCTTCATATCCATTATTTGTGATTTGTCACCAACCTTTCGTGATTCATTTGTGTCTTTATAGGTCCAGTAAATATGCCTCATTTGATTTCACGTTTTTTTCATTTTTTATAATATTATTTATTTAATCACTGTGAGAGCAGTTACAAAGCTTTCAGGTCTAAGTCTCGGTCATACAATGAAACACCCGAACGTTCACCAGGGCCCATTCTCCACACCCAACAACCCCAGTGTACCCCCATCCACACCCTCCCCCTACCTGTGGGGCAGATGATTTCCACATTACTCTCTCTCTAGTTTGATCACATTCAATATCTTGACACCAGACCCACCATTATTATTTGAGATTTTACCCCAACACTCAGATCTGTTGACAAGGCAACAGTAGACAATTTGTTTTCTATTGCTGGTTATGAATAACATATGATGTCACGTGGCTGCAGTAGTGGCCATGCAATTTTGAAATTCCGGAATTTTAACACTTAAATCTGGAGGGATTTCTGCCAAAACCTGCTGGGTTCTGAGATTTGCTCCCGAGTCTCTGGAACCATGGCTGTTAAGCAGCTTGATCAGGAGCCAGAGAGGCCATTTGTGGGCGATGACTTGGGGTCTTATTGGGACGAGGAGGAAAGGACCGGCTCCACTCCCATTCTGTGAGACCCAACATGTCTCGTCACTGCAGGCTGAAACCTGACTGTTCAATGGCCTCTGGAGGATGGCGGCCACTGAGCCACCAAGGGGGAGCAGGCAGAGGGACGGTACCCCTTCCCCCTTGGGTGACCTGGTGACAGTAACCTACGGCAGGGTCTGGACACATTTCTGTCAAAAGCCGCTGAGTTTCGAGATTTGTTTCTGAGTCTCTGGGATCATGGCCGTTAAGCAGCTTGATCAAGAGCCAGGGAGGCCGTTTGTGGGCGATGACTTGGGGTCTCGTTGGGACAGGGAGGAAAGGACCGGCTTCACCCTCATCCTGTGAGGCCCTGCGCGTCTCGTCATTGCGGGTCCAAACGTGACTATCCAGTAGCCTCTGGAGGATGGCAGCCACTGGGCCGCCAGGGAGAATAGGCCAAGGAACAAAACCTATCCCACCTGGGTTGGCCTAGCACCGGTAACTTACTGCAGGGACCAGACGCATTTCTGCCAAAAGCTGTTGGGTTTCGAGATTTGTTTCTGAGTCTTTGGGATCACGACCATTAAGCAGTTCAATCAGGAACAAGAGAGGCCATGCCTCCAATTATATAACTGAGCCAGAGGTGGTTTGTGGGTGTGTCTCCCACATACCTAACTTTTGGCCATTTACTTTCTTGGTAAACTTTGCCCCAAGTTTTGGGGGTCTGGCCAAAGGCACAACAGCAATTTTGGGGTATCTGGAAGTCTGAAGGCGCCGTCAGGCTGCTGATGCACTCACCTCACAGGTACAGATTGACCTGCTAGTGGCACCATACCCCCCTTGATTTCACTTTTCTTATATTCATTGAGAATTGTGTGTTCCAACTTAAGCTTTATCCTTGAGATTATTCCATATTTCTACGAGAAGAAGATGTATTCTGTTGCTTAATTTTGTGTGTGTGGATCTGGCCATACCGGGTGATGTTCAGGTGATGTTACTGTGTTTGTACTCAAAAGTACTGGAGGTACTCAGGAGACCATCTGTGTGCTAGGGATTGAACCCGGGTCAGCACGCACAACGCAAGTCCTTAACTTCTTGTACTATCTCTTCAACCAATCTGTTGCTTTTGATTGTTCTAGTGATGCTCAGGGCTCAGAACTTGGGCTCATCACTCAGCATTCTTGACTCAGCACGCAGGAATCACTCCTGGCAGTGATCATGGGCCACTGCCACAACATGGAATGCAGGGATTGAAACAAGTTCAGCTATGCGAGGGCAAGCACCTTACCAGCTGTACTCACAGTCTGCTTCCCAATCTGTTGCTTTAAAAAATATACTGATGTGTCTTAGGTAGCAAGATTATAAATGCATATATGTTTTTATCCTATTATTTCAGAGTGTATATGTTATCACACCATGCCCATGACCAGTACCAATTTTGGGTGAAATGTTCTGCATCAGTGTTGCATCCACTTAGTTTACTGCATTAGTAAGATCATTATTTCCTTGTTAACTTTTGTATGGATTATGCATCCACTGGTGTAAATACATTTAATTTTTTTATTTTTGTGTTGCTGTACATATTTCCCTTTAGATAGGTAAGTAGCTTTTTAATATATTTTGTGTTGCTATGTTTTGATAAACTATATATTGATGGAGTACCATCTTTATAATTACATAGCTTCCCTAAGTTTCTCTTGATTCTATACTGTGCTGAAAGTTTATCTTACGAGTATAGTTTCTTTTACTTTCTTTCATTATTTACTTTGTAGATCTTCCTTTACTTTTACCTAGTTATGATTTTTTCTAGAACTGTTGTTTGTTTGTTATAAATAGCATATATCTGACCTAACTAACTTGCTCTCTCTTTCTCTCTCTTTCTCCACCTCCTGGCCCCCCCCCCCCCCCACCTCCAACTCTCAGGTTTTAGCAATCCAAGCTATGGTAAGGACTTATTCTGGGCTCTGTGTTTTGAGATAAATTCAGGTAGTTGTTGGGATTGCCTGGGGCGATAGCACTGCGGGTAGGGTGTTTGCCTTGCATGCGGCAGACCTGGATTTGATTCCTCCGTCATTCTTGGAGAGTCCGGCAATCTACTGAGAGTATCCCGCCTGCATGGCAGAGCCTGGCAAGCTCCCCGTGGCATATTCGATATGCCAAAAACAGCAACAACAAGTCTCCAATGGAGATGATACGGTGCCCGCTTGAGCAAATCGGTGAACAACGGAATGACAGTGCTACAGTGCCACAGTGAAGTTCTTGGGATACTGTAGGGTGGCTGGACTGAAAGCCAGGTTAGAGGCATGTTAAGCAAGTTCTCCACTCACTGTAATTTCTCTGGTCCAAAAGAAGACCTTTAAAATTGAGTGGTTTTGTGATCATTGTTAGTTTTAAGAGCTCTTTTAATGGTCTAAGTTTTTGAAATGTTATAAATGTGTTGCTTAATTAATTTTTCAATTCTCTATGTTCACTCTAGACTATTTGTATCTTTATATTAAATAGGTTACTATTATGTATGTGGTCATTACTCATTATTGACCCTCATACATCCCTCAAAAACTTGGCTTCATTTAATATTTCAGCTTTTTTTGGTTTTTAACAGCCCAGAGAGGCCTTGTTAACCCTGAATCATAATATAACCTTCACTCACACTTGTGTCAACTTGCATACTCCAGTGTGATGGATTTGGAAAGGGTATCCCTATTAATATTTGATAGTGATGCAAGAAGAGACAACACCTTTTATTTTAAAGAGTTAGACTGAAAGTAAAAACCAGAAACAATTGGAAAGGAAAGGAAAAATCAAGTAGGAACACTGGAAATAATTGGACACCAAGAAAATGGAGCTCACTTTTTATCTACACATAAAGAAAAGAATATGTATGGTGTCTTTATGTGTATGAATATACTAAATATGTCAAGATTTTTTGGTGTGAATTCTTTTTTATATTTGAAAGTTACATATGCCTATTGTAGCACTGTAGCACTGTCGTCTCATCGATTGGGTTGAGCGGGCACCAGTAACGACTCCATTGTGAGATTTGTTGCTACTGTTTTTGGCACATTACATATGCCATGGGGAGCTTGCTAGGCTCTGCTGTGTGTGCAGAATACTGTCAGTAGCTTGCCGGGCTCTCCGATAGGGATGGAAGACTCAAACCCGAGTCGGCCGTGTGCAAGGCAAATGCCCTATCACTCCAACACAAAAAATCAAAATGAATGTAATTTATTCAGATATGTATACATGTCACCATAACCTTTCCAATCATAAAATTTTAGTTTGTTATAATTCCTTCATCATTCATTTCCATACGGTTGTGTCAAGGCATGAACAAAGTGCATAAACTTAAAATGCATATCATGTTCAAATTCTGCACGTGTATAGATCCATTGTAACAGCCCCCTGGATCAAGACGGAGAATAGTTTAGAGCCCCTATTGAAAACTAATTTCAGAGATGGGGTGGGAGTGGTGGGACCATTGGTGGTGCAATATGGGCACTGGTGGAGGGATGGATACTCGATCACTGTATGACTGAAACACAAGCATGAAAGTTTGTAAGTCTGTAACTGTAGCTCACGGTGATTCACTAATAAAAATTTGAAACAAAAAACTAATTTCAAAGAAATAATTGAAATATTATAGAGACAGAAACTTTTCAAAATTACATCATTCACCATATTTAAGAAGAGAAACAAATTCATTTAACCCATGCATTTATTATGGGGGTCACCTCCAATAATTCTGGGAGCAGGAGAGTGCCAGTTATTTTTCACTGGAGATGAGCCTGACCATAAACTGCTCTCCATGGCAATGCAGAGGTTCTCAGAACTGGTATGAGTCCATACTTAAGAGGAAAGGAAAAGCAATCATTAAAGATTTATAATAGAAATCACAAAATAGAGAGATGGAAAACCTGATGTATGCAAGTCTTTCTTTCTTTGACATTCTCTTTACCTGCTTTCTTTCCTTGATATTGAAAATATGAAGAGAGAAAGGCTGGCTTCTCTTGTCGCTGGTGGATACAGAGACATTCTTCTTCCATTCCTGAAATTGGTTCTTAATCACTCTCCCATTCACAACTTCTAGACATATTTAAATAAGGCATCACAGACTTTTAACTATTGGTAAGAAGATTTTAGAGTAACTGATAGTCAGTCTGGATAATAAAACCTGATGTATGTCAGCAGAGTGCGATATGGGAATTTCAAACTCTCTGAGGTTTGTGCGCAGATAGTATCAGCTGAGCTCTCAGAATATCTATCCTTAGATTATAGTTTGAGTAATAGATTCCTTGTTCATTTGAATATTATTATCTCTTTCATTCTAAGTTGTTGACTTACAGAACATCACCTTAACAGCAAACAAGTTTAGTGCTTGTTTTATATCTCTGTTTCTCAGGCTGTAGATGAAAGGGTTCATCATGGGGGTGACTATCATATACATCACAGAAGCAGCTATTTCTTTAGCACTGGACATGGATGGTGAGGAGAATAAGTACACTTCTGCAATGGTCCCGTAGAATAAAGCTACAACTAGGAGATGGGAACCACAGGTAGAGAGGACTTTGAAGAATTTCTTAGCAGAAGGATTTTTTAGGACAGTGGCCCATATGCAGATATATGATCCCATGATAAAAGTGAATGGAATACCTACAATCATTCCTCCCTCAATGAATATGACCAGTTTATTGAGTGATGTATCTGAGCAGCTTACCTCCAGCACGGCAGTGAGTTCACAGAAGAAGTGGGGGATTGTAACATCACCACAGAAGGACACTTGGTTCAAGAGAAGAGCATTTATCAGAGAGTGTAAAAAACTGAGGAACATGCACCAAGCTACGAATGAGATGCATCGCTCCTCCCTCATGATCATTGTGTAGTGGAGTGGCTGACAGATGGCTACATACCTGTCATAGGCCATCACTGCAAGAATGATATTTTCAGTACAAGCAAAAAATATTAAAAAATATACCTGAGAAATGCACCCTGAATAAGAGATGGACTTCTGATTACTTTGCATGTCCTCCAACATTTTGGGCACCGTGACAGACGAGAAACACATGTCATTGAAAGCCAGTACACTGAGGAAGAAGTACATGAGGGTGTGGAGACGAGAGTCTATCCTGATGAGCAGGACGATGAGCAGGTTCCCCAACACAGTAGTCAGGTATATGACCAGGAAGAGCATCAAGAACCAGCCCTGTTGTTCTGGTGGTACAGGGAGACCCTGGAGGAGGAATTCAGAAACTCTGGTCTCATTCTGTCTCTTCATGATGCTCCTCTTTCTTCTGGGAGTCAAAGAGAAGGAAATGTTCAGAACCTGAATAGCCATATTATAGTAACACAGTATTTATATGAAAGAGTAGTTATTTTTAATCTAGACTTTGTTCACAACTCACATGTATTTTTGCATGAATCACTATGTACCATTTAGGTTCTAATAATACATCAAATCTCCACAATTTATATGATATATTTGTTAACCTGGAATAATACTTTGAACAACAGCTTAACTCATGCTTTGTACAAAGCGCTGGACAAAGTGTTATGCATGTACTAGAGTAAATAAGCAATGCAAAGTCTTGGTATTGTAGAAGTGTACACCTTTTCATCTTGCCACGTTAATTTAAATAATATACTATGAAAAAGACATGGATATTTATATCAACCACTAGACATTTCCCCTTAAATCATGTGAAACTATCTACATTGATATAGACTATAGTATAAATAAATATTCTAAATTGATTATGGAATGTTATTCCTTGTCAACAAATGTGCCCATTATTATTAAAAACAATGTAAAATCTTGACCACTAGCAAACATTTTTCCAGGCACTATTCCATGTGTTTTACATATACTTAAAAATCTTTAGATAAAATTATCAGTATTAAAATATGAGGAGGAAAAAATCACATTATTTAAAAGTCCAAGGAAGCACCACTGCACCAGATAATAGGTGAAAGCATGACAACATGTATCCAGTCACACTGTGTCTCCTAATCACGACACACTGGCTCTCCCAATTCTAATTATTTAGCCGTGTCCAGACATGCTAAGAGATATCATTCCAACATAGTTTGAGGAGAAAATATTTGCTGTCCTTTGTAGTCAAGATTAATAGCAGTACTCTTTACAGCTTAGGGACACTGGTTCTATCTCTCCATTTCCTCTAAGTTTGATAGCAGCTGATCACTGTGTGGAGACACCAGGAATAAAGTAACAATTTATAATCAACAGAGAGCTTTGATTCACACAGTATTTAACTTCTCAAGACAATGATCCTTCACTTGGGGAAATAAGACCAGACTGTGTTTATAAAGTATGTGAGATACAATATGTGCAAGGTTATTTATAAACCTTTTATATGTTTTGTACCAGAGTTTGGAGATTTATGAACCTTGGAGACTTATGAAAAAATGCTTAGTTTTGGGAGAGACACTTAAAGTCCTTCCTGTTGACTGAACACTGATTATGTGTCAGGCATGGTGCTGAATGATTTGTGAAGACTGTTCATTTTAATTCTCAATATAGCATAGTGATCAAGACTTAGTTACTCTTCCTATTTCAGTGGAAACTGAATATAAGAGATAGACATAGCAGTACCGGACTGTGGATTAGACCACTTTTGACCTACTGAGATAATGGAATAATAGGAATAAGTGAGTGAAACTTACTTAGAGAAGGATATTCACCTGATCCTGCCTGCTCAATGCAGTAATATGGCCATCATTGACAGACTCCTCAGATGGCTGTGTGCAAGAAAGATGGTCCCATTTAGTCACAGACATAACCACAGAAATACTATACAAACCAGACATCATTAACAACTCATAAACACAGATACCTTGGATGACAGGCAATGATACTCATAAATGAAAGGAAAGAGCACACAACTGTATACCAGTAAGGCTTTCAAAAAACTCTCATCCTGGCTTTGGGTAAACTCAGGAAATTTCTGCTACCTTGTGGGGAGCATATCTATGTCTCTTCAGACCCTACAATCTCCTGACTTAACTTATGCCTGTATACAAAATTGAGAATTTGGAAGGATTGAATGAGAGAGGGGTGGATATTTGGTAGCGAGAGTTCAGATCACAATTCGAGTGCTCTACACGAACTTTTTACTGCTGTGTGCTCTGGTCATGAGAAAAAAATCTTATGTCACATATACTTTTCTGTCTTAATTCTGTCTTGGTCTTGACTTTTCTCTGTCACTCTCTCTCTCTGTAGCCACTCTCAGTGGTATTAAGTGCCTCTTCTTGGCTCTGTGATTAGGGGTCATTCCTGGTGGTGCCCAGGAACCATAGGAAATGCTGGTGATAAATCCAGGGTGCACCATGTGTAAGTTAAGTTTCTTAACTCTTATCCTGTTTTCCTGCACCGCTCCCCCATTTTTCTTATTAAGTCAACAGAGATACCACATATATGCAGAACAACTCTTGAAGAAGGATGCATTTTTAAAAATCATAATACACTAGAAAAAAATCAACACATGCTATATGTACACAAGATGCATACACAGAGACACAACTTCATGTCCTATAATTCCAAGCTCACTCTGATAGCTTCACTCTTTGGTAGCACAAGAAGTTTCAAATCCAGTTTGCAGATCCTCAGCTTCTGTTGTATTTAGCAAGAATTAAACACTGGGAAGAAAGCGTTGTGGGCCCCAAATTTGCTGAGCTTCCTGTGTCTGTCCTTGACCTCCAACTCAATAAAGTTACCATTTTATAGGTCTCATAGAGGTCTAAGTCAAAGTCCCTAAACTCCTGGTTATAGAAAGCAAGGCAATTGCTTCAGCCCAATTAGACCCTGGGGACAAGATTGAGCACACACTGGAGGAAATGAGCTGCTAAGGCCACCTGAGAGAGTGTCCTGGGTACCAGAGGCCCCTGGAATGGAACTGCCTTAACTGGACCCAGGAATGACTGAGCTGTTCTCCAAACACCAATGAAGCCAATGCAATACATGGGGCTCTGCCAGACACTCTTGTTTGTTTATAAATATGTAAAATAACTTGTCTCAGCCTTGTTTCAGAAACTATAATATTCACACAATGATTTCTGTCATTATAGGTGTTTTATTAATGTTTTGCGAGATCATGCATGCTAAAACACACAGTGCACAATATATGTCAACCGTTATAATAAACCTCACATATGACAACAAATGATTCATACTGATAGTCATGGCTATTGCATCAGAATTGGCAGTGATCAAATGAAGTTTTCAATGAATTAGTATAGTTTTCATTTAATAAGTGTAAGTGCTGAGTTCACTTACACTCTCCTCAAACAACAGCAGATCTAAGTGATACAAATATCCATTAAGCCACTCAGTACGATAATATTCCCTTTGTATTTAATATGTAATATTTAAAATGTGTTTAATAAATATTAACACACTTCATTATCAGAGGCAAGCTGTCCATGGAGTATTCGATATGCCAAAAACAGTAGCAACAACAGTCTCATTCCCCTGACCCTGAACGAGCCTCCAATATGGCAGCATTGGGAAAGATGAGTAAGGAGATGCTGCTAAAATCTCAGGGCTGGGACGAACAGAGCCGTGACTGGTGCCCACTCGAGTAAATCGATGAACAACAGGATGGTAGTCACAGTGACAGTGACATTCATGGTGGGAAATGCATATTGGTGAAGGGATGGCTGTTGGAACATTATATGACTGAAACTAAATTACAAATAGCATTGTAACTGTGTGTCTCATGGTGATTCAATTAAAAAAAAGATTCTATCATGTAAATATCCCACAGCTTCTTAGTTCACTCATCTCTTGTTGTAATTTGGGTTGTTTCCAAATCTAGACTATTGTATTGAATTGCTACAATCAATACAGGTGTGCATATACCCTTTTGAATTAATGTTTTAATATTTCTTCAAGAAGAATAGATATCAGGAACTGTATTGCTGTTATATACTGGAGTTATATTCTTCTTTTTTAAAAAAGAAATTTTCATATCTCTTTTCATAGAGATGGGTTGAATCAGACAACATCTCCACTAGCACAGAATGAGGATTCTCTTTTCACCACATCCCTCTAGTCATTTCTTTTGTAGTGGAAAAGGTTGATAATATGATGTGTCTTCTTTGTTTTAATCTGCTTCTATTTTTAATTTTTTTAAACTTTTACACATTTTTAAAATTAAAGTTTTGTGACACAGAGATTGATAGTTGAGTTTTAGACATAAAATATTGCAGCACCAATTCCACCACCAATGTTACCAAGTTCCCTCCTATATCGCCCTTCCAGCCTGCTCTCTTGGCATGAAACTTTCTAAGTTTGATTGTTAAAGTTTGGGTCTCTTCATTTCAGTGTTGTTGACTCAGTGGTTTGATACTTAACTCTAATGTTTCTTATTTATTTATTTATTTTTTATAATGTAGGATCACTGCTATTTATTCAGCCGTTGGTTAAGCTGATTGAATTGAGCATGAACGTTCACGTTACTTTTTCTTTAATTTTTTTTCATTTTATAAATTAGTTCATAACGTAGATTACATTCAATATTCAAACACCTATTCCACCACCATTACACCTTCCCACCACCAAATTCGGGAAGGTTCCATCCCAAACCCCAATCCCTGTCCCAAAATGCAACCGAAATAATATATGTTGTATTGTATGTTATCAAGAACTGCTGAACATGCTTACAAAATAGGGTTCATATAGGAAGCAGTGTGAAGATTGTTCTATTTTGGCAGGAGCCATTAAGATATTCTGTAGGATATCACTAACATGTTTTTGGGTGATGTGAGCTTTGGTATATATATATATGTATAATATATAATGTATATATGTATATATGTATATATGTATATATATATATACACACACTCACAGACACACACACTTCATTATCAGAGGGAAGCTGTCCATGGAGTATTCGATATGCCAAAAACAGTAACAGTAACAGTCTCATTCCCCTGACCCTGAACGAGCCTCCAATATGGCAGCATTGGGAAAGACGAGTAAGGAGATGCTGCTAAAATCTCAGGGCTTCAAGAACAGATGACTGGTTAAAGAAACTTTGGTACATCTACACAATGGAGTACTATGTAGCTCTTAGAAAAGATGAAGTCATGAAATTTACATACAAGTGGTACAATATGGAAAGTATCATGCTAAGCGAAATGAGTCAGAAAGAGAGGGATAGACATAGAAAGATTGCATTCATCTGGGGGATATAAAGTAACAAAGTATGAGATTAATACCCAAGAATAGCTGAGATCAGCACCAGGA